CTATGTGTATAGAGGAGTGGAGGAAGTTAGTGATAAAACTTTACAGCATATGTATTTCTGAATATTTGTGTGCATATATATGAATGATCTGCGACTATATACTAATTTTTTTTTTTGAGATGGAGTTTCACTGTTGCGCAGGCTGGAGTGCAGTGGCCTCCACCTCCCAGGTTGAAGCGAGAGTCTCCTGCCTCAGCCTCCCAGGCAGATGGGATTACAGGTGTGTGCCACCACGCCCAGCTAATTTTTTTGTATTTTTAGTAATTTTTTCTAAAAGTCAAGAAAACAGGGCAATGAGATGGCCTAAAAGCTAAACTGGGAAATTATCTGTATAGGCCGGGCACAGTGGTTCAGGCCTTTAATCCCAGCACTTTGGGAGAAGGGCCAATCACCTGAGGTCAGGAGTTCGAGATCAGCCTGGCCAACATGGTGAAACTCCGTCTTCATTAAAAATACAAAAATTAGCTGGGTGTGGTGGCATGGAACTGTAATCCTAGCTACTGGGGAGGCTGATGCAGGAGAATTCCTTGAACCCAGGAGGCAGAAGTTGCGTGAGCTGAGATTGTGCCATTGCACTCCAGTATGGGCGACAAGAGCAAATCTATCTCAAAAAAAAAAGAAATTATCTGTATAAAATAGCAGTCCAGGCCAGGAACAGTGAATCACGCCTCTAATCCCAGCACTTTGGGAGGTTGAGGTGGGCAGATCACAAAGTCAGGAGATCGAGACCAACCTGGCCAACATGGTGAAACCCCATCTCTACTAAAATACAAAAAGTTAGCCAGGCATGGTGGCATGCGCCACTAATCCCAGCTACTCAGGAGGCTGAGGCAGGGGAATCACTTGAATCCAGGAGGCAGAAGTTGCAGTGAGCCAAGATCGAGCCACAGCACTCCAGCCTGGCGACAGAGCAAAACTCTATCTCAAAAAAATAAATTAAATAAATAAATAAAAAGAGACCTAGGCCAGGTGGGGTGGCTCATGCCTGTAATCTCAGCACTTTGGAAGGCTGAGGCAGGTGGATCATGAGGTCAGGAGTTCAAGACCAGCCTGGCCAAGATGGTGAAACCCCATCTCTATTAAAAATACAAAAATATTAGCTGGGCGTGGTGGTGCATGCCTGTAATCCCAGCTACTCAGGAGGCTGAGGCAGGAGAATTGCTTGAACCTGGGAGGTGGAGGTTGCAGTGAGCCAAGATCGAGCCACAGCACTCCAGCCTGGCGACAGAGCAAAACTCTATCTCAAAAAAATAAATTAAATAAATAAATAAAAAGAGACCTAGGCCAGGTGGGGTGGCTCATGCCTGTAATCCCAGCACTTTGGGAGGCTGAGGTGGGTGGATTGCTTGAGCTCAGGAGTTCGAGACCAGCCTGGCCAATATGGTGAAACCCCACATCTACTAAAAATACAAAAATTAGCCAGGCAGGGTGGTGTATGCCTGTAGTCTCAGCTGCTTGGGAGGCTGAGGCAGAAGAATTGCTTGAAGCCGGGAGGCAGAGGTTGCAGTGAGCCGAGATTGCACCATTGCACTCCAGCCTGGGCAACAGAGGGAGACTCTGTCTCAAAAAATAAAATAAAATAAAATAAATAAATAAAAAATAAAAAAGACCTGGAAGAGTTCCTCAGGTGTTCAAGGGAACTTCTGAGAAATGACCATACTCCAGTGAGCACTTTATTTTATTTTATTTTTCAAGATGATGTCTTGCTATATTGTCCAGGCTCATCTTGAACTTCTGGGCTCAAGTGATCCTCCCGTTTTGGCCTCTCAAATCGCAGGGATTAGAGGAATAAGCCACCATGCCATCCAGTGAGCACTTTAAAAAGCCCATCTTGGGTGGGGTGTGGTGCCTCACCCCTGCAATCCCAACACTTTGGGAGGCCAAGGCAGGCAGATCACGAGGTCAGGAGTTCGAGACCAGCCTGGCCAATATGGTGAAACCCCACATCTACTAAAAATACAAAAATTAGCCAGGCAGGGTGGTGTATGCCTGTAGTCTCAGCTGCTTGGGAGGCTGAGGCAGAAGAATTGCTTGAAGCCAGGAGGCAGAGGTTGCAGTGAGCTGAGATTGCACCACTGAACTCCAGACTGGGCGACAGAATGAGACTCTGTCTCAAAAAGAAAATCCCGGCACACAAAGAGTCAACACACACACTGGCTCCGAGAAGAAAAAGAAAAAAAAAACAAAAATACACATTCATAGAACAAATCATATATACAAATAAGCAAATAGCTCAAGCAAGAATCAGTCTCAGGGAAGTAGCCTGATACAGCAAGCAAGAGAAAGCAGAAAGGAAATATACCTTTAGGAATTAGACTAAACATAAGGGCTTCTTATGTCAAAAAAAAAAAAAAAAAAAAAAAAAAGGAAAGAAATTCCAACATACCATGCAGCATGGATAAACCTTGAAGACCTTAGGCGATGTAAAATAAGCTAGGTAAAAAAGACTAATGCTGTATGATCTTTTCTTTCTTTAAAAAAAAATTTTTTTTGCATAATGTGTTGCTGTCATCTTTAACAAATAAGAAAATATTGATTGATTGATTGAGACGAGGTCTCACACTGTCACCCAGGCTGGAGTGCAGTGGCACGATCTTGGCTCACTGGTGCCTTGACGTCTGACGCTCAAGCGATCCTCCCATCTCACAGCCTTCCCTGTAGCCGGGACTACAGGCATGTGCCATCACATCCAACTAATTTTTGTGTCTTTTTTGTAGATACAGAGTTTCGCAGTGTTGCCTAGGCTGGTTTCAAACTCCTGGACTCAAGTGATCCATCCACCTCAGCCTCTCAAAGTGCTAAGTTTACTTGGTGTGAGCCACCATGCCCGGCCTGTATGATTTAGTTGGGAAGAGGTATACCTAGGGTAGTCAATTCACAGAGACAGAAAGTTGGATAGTGGTGGCTAGGGGCTGGGGACATAGAGGGCAGTGAGGAGTTAGTGTTCACTGGGTGCAGAGTTTCAGTTTTGAAAGATGAAAAGTTATAGAGACAGAAGGAAGTAATTGTTACACAAAAATGTGAATGTACTTGATGTCATTGAACTGCACACTTTAAAAAGTTTAAGATGGGCCAGGCGTAGTGGCTCCTGGCTATAATCCCAGCACTTTGGGAGGCTGAGACGGGCAGATCGCTTGAGGCCAGGAGTTCAAGACCAGTCTGGCCAACACAGTGAAACCCTGTCTCTTTAAAAATACAAAAATTAGCTGGGCGTGATGGCACACGCCTGCAGTCCCAGCTACTCGGGAGGCAGGAGAATCGCTCCAACCCAGGAGGCAGAGAGCCAAGATCACACCACTGCACTCCAGCCTGGGTGATAGAGGAAGA